TGCAACCAAATATACATAGGTCAGACCTCCAGATCTCTTAAAGGAAGGATTACATCACACGAAAGTGATGCTAAGCTTCATCCTGAGAGATGCGCTCTAGCATCTCATGTTAACACAACAGGGCATTCTATGAATTACACAAGTATCAAAGTTCTTGATAAAAAAAAACACCTTTCCAAACGTTTATTCCTGGAAATGTCCCACATTTTCATGAATAACAACTGTATCAACAAAAAGACAGATATTAAACAACTGAGTGTCATTTACTCATATCTGCTAAACTGCGAAAAATTAGAGAACTTACATATCTCCCCAAATTTCGACTTTTCACAACCATAAATATAATCTGTGTTTTGGCCGGTTCCACCAACGAATTTCATTCCACTCAAAATCTAATAATTCTCTTCTCACTATTTATTAATAATTGTTAATTTAAAATTCCCATTAATTAAAATATAGTTTATTCAACTGCCTCTGGTCGGTTTAATAATTTCTTACATAACATTCTGAAAATCACATCATCTGAAATGATTTGGCAACGTTTTGGCACACGCCCACAATTCGTTCCAACTTTCAACACAGACATTGACAACCTTCGGCCTTCTGTCAAAGGTTCATCTCACTCATTATTCCATGACCACCATTTTGTGCAATCATCAAGTGGCTTCACGACGTAATGCTCTTATGTTTTCTAAATAATTTTTAATCTGTCTTTAACTTGTCTTGTCATATTTTATATAATTTTAACCATTGTACCATCTATCCAGCTCTCACCATGTTACTGGACGTTTCCCTCATCCTATACGAAAACAACAATTAGCAACATCCTCATATACTACTGTAAGTTGATTCAATTTAAATTCATTTTACACTTCTGTTGCTACTGTTATCATTGTAATTGCAGCTCCTGATGATGATGGCAAAGTTCATTGAAAGCTAGAGAGAATTAAAAAAGTATAAAGAGTCCTCTTTGCTTAAATTTTGTCGAAGTACCCAACAAAAGGCGGAAGCTTTAATTTTTCACCTAACTGGTCTAGACGACAATGACCACGTCTCAAGTTATATATAAAGACAATGAATCAGAAAATAATAACAAAAAAAGAAAATAGAGAAACATTAGTGATCTGAATGAACACATAATACATAGGTGTTTGAATAATTAAACACATCCACAAAAAAAGAGAAGAAAAAAAACATAAAACTGCTCCAATTGAAGAATAACAATAACTGACACCATCAACAAAACGATTTTATCTCAATTGCTCCCTGTAAATATTTAATATTTTATTAAGACTGTCATGACATACATCAGCTCTGTTGCAGATTGAATTGAATAAGGTATACATTACCATTACTGGGGATCTGCATAAAATACTCGTCCGTGGTGTATCACAGTAAAATATGTGATTATGCCGACCAACTAATCTGGGAGCATGGAAATTAATCTCACTCAGTAGGAACCCACCATCAATATGATAATTCATTAACTTACAAAGGAAAGTGAGAGCTTGAGCGTCACGACGATTCCTGCCAAAAAACTCCAACAACATGTCATGATCAAATCCTCTTTCTGGGTATCTACCACTGCACTTAAAATACCAACACTTTAGAGCTTTACGTTGTACAGCCTCCAGTTTACCGATTGCATTCTGATATAGGGGGGACCATACTAAGGACGCACACTCTAACTTAGTCCTGATAAATGAAAAATACAGTATTCTTAAACAGTCCACATTAGAGAAACCGGACCAGTTACGTTCACAATAACCCATCAACCGTGATGCAGATGATACAATATCTGATATGTGATCGTTAGAAGTGAGTCTGTTATAGAACACTACTCCCAAGTCTTTAAAACTTGAATCTCTTCCTAAAACGCTTTCATTAAGGTTATAATTGTATATGATGGGGTCCTGCTTCCGACTATACGACACCACTTTGCATTTTTTGACATTTAACGTTAGCAGATTTCTGTTGCAACATTCATATATCAAGTCAAGCTTGCTCTGCATCTCCACACAGTCACTCGAGGAGTGAATTGGCGAAAATATCTTCAAGTCGTCCGCAAAAAGCAAGTGCATACAGGTTAGCTTCAAAGACAGATCGTTAATGAAAATAAGAAATAACAAGGGTCCTAGGTTCGAACCTTGTGGAACTCCAGATGTTGCTGTATAAATTTTGGACTTACTTCCACCAAATTCAACATATAGTGACCTATCAGCAAGGTATGACCGTAAAAGGGTCAATTTAGGAAGGAAGGTTACAGAACTTCTTGAAGAACTAGAGGAAACCTTAAACTTATTTGTCACACATAAAATGTAGGAAATGTTTGAGTTTGTCACGTGCCAAAATCACGTAACTTTTTTTTTCATCATTTTGTTCACTTACTAGGAATTTGAATTTCTCTTTATTAATAGTAGTACCCATTCCTAGACCACACCCTTTTTTTGCAAATTTCATAGTTTATTGATTGTATAATATAACACGTATTATATCTTTCTTTCTCAGCGACTAAGGTGTTGAATTTTTTTGGATACTAATGTTATAGTATCATTAACGACTATCTTAGAAATTTCCTCATAAAATATCGTTGGACCCTGGTAGAGTTGGCAACTAGCACGCCACCTTGTGACTTTACACGTACTAGCCGTATAGGGATATCTGGTTCTATCAAGATAAGCTTCTTCAAGGCCATTCATTTAACCGTCTTTTAGGGGGTTACGCGCGCAGACTGTCCAGCGCCATCTTCTTTTCTTTCCGCTGTAGTTTTCGTTGTGGGTGGGCGTTTTTCGTTAACTTACAGATTTTGGGATATTAACGCCCCAATCACCAGCTTATGTAGTAGTACTTTTTTATTTTGTACCTTACGTTTAGTTGTGTTGGTTAGGCTACATTTCATAATGAGATTTTAACCTCCAGCGATAAGTTCTCTTTTGTATACCATCGGACTATGTCGATTAATGCTTAACCTGAAGAAGTTTGTTCAATATCTGCTTCCTTCTGGTAGAAAGGCATTGTTGGAAGCCATCACTTCCCTTTGACAAAAAACCTTGATGTGAACAGGTAAAACATCATTTTAATTGGGTATTTTATATATATTGATCAGGAGCGGCTGGCCCTTAAGTTCTGCAGAGCTGCAGAACTGCCAAAACTTGTCTTAGCAGAAAAAAGCAGTAGTTATTTGATCATTATTTATTTTCCATGTTATCACTAAAATAGAAACAATATCGGCAACGCTGCCCCCGCAAGATACAGCGTCGAGTCTGTTTATATATTATAATCGACCAATTGTGTACTTGTCGTTTTCGTCGCGACCGCAGCGTAACATTATTCATGGGCCACTTGAAAAGGGTCTGTGCACTACTTCTGCACAAGCCACACGCGCTTGCTTTTGTTTCTCTCTATAAAATCAAATGCGCCATTTAAGCATAAGCCTGTGCTGCAATTTATGCAGATCCGTACAGATCTAACGCGAAGTACGATATCTGATTGGTTGGACGGTGCTCGGTCGTCGATATTGGCATACTGGTCTTGTCGCCTGACATTTTGAATGCGAACAATTTTTTATTCAGGTATTTTGGGTCTTACGCTCAGTGACTAGTGACTCACTGACGGACTGTGGCTGTGTAGAAGGGTAGTGCAAGACAACGGATGTGGTTTACAGAGTTATCAGCGTGAAACGATTCTGGAAATACATATTTGAAGAAAAAATTGAGCCGAAGGTGACACGTCGACCGCTGCCGGACATATTTATAGAAACACAGGGCGTTAGTCGGGGCAAGGGCTATACGCGGCATTTCAGCAGGGAGATTTACACCAGAAGTGACTGGATTTGTAGGTGCAACAGGATGAATGCCCTTTTCTGCTTTCCTTGCATACTTTTTGGGGGTAACAAAGCTTGGACGGAGGTAGATGTTACAGATTTAGTGCATCTGAGTGAAAAAATTAAGAAGCATGAAAACGCTAAAACACATCTTCATAATTCTATGGAATTGGCTTTGTTGGGGACTGTTAACATCAGAGATCAGTTAGATTCAGCATATTGGAGAAATATACAACAGCATAATGATACCGTTACAAAAAACAGGTACGTACTGTCAAAAATAATCGATTGAATAAAATTTTGCGGAGCAATTGAATTGGCGCTACAGGGCCACGACGAAACCGAGAGCTCCCAAAACCCGGGAATATTTCGTGGACTGATTAATTTATCTGCTGAGCTTGATACACATAAAAAATGCTTCAACATTTAAAGGAACTTTGAAAGAAATACAAAACGATCCACTGGATTGTATTCTTGAAGTTTGTCATGAAGAAATATTAAAACAGATTAACAGAGCCTCGTATTTGGCGATAATAGCAGATTAAATAATGGACATTTCGGGGAAAACCCAACGGGTAACAATTTTCAGATACGTATTTAACGGCGAACCAGTAGAACGTTTTTGGAATTGTATGAATCCCGAAAAATGTGACGCTGATACTCACACAAGACATATTTTGAGCGTCGTAGATCCATTGATAGGAAATTTCCCTAACAAACTGATTTCACAAAGCTATGATGGAGCCGCGGTAATGAGCGGACATAATGCTGGAGTACAGGCAAAAATTAAACAAAGATATCCATTTGCTCACTATGTTCATTGCTATGCGCATCAGTTAAACCTGATTATGTCCCAAGCTGCTTCCGCAAATGCTCAAGTTCGGGTGTTCTTTGGGGATTTGAAATATATTCCGGGATTTTTTAATAATTCTCCTCAACGCGTGGAGGTACTGAACAGAATTTTTGGGAAAAAATTCCGCAAGGAGCAACAACTCGTTGGAATTTTAATATTCAAACAATAAATGTAGTGTTTGAGAACAGAGAATCACTCATTGGATGCATGGAAGAAATAGAATAAAATTTTACTAATGAAGCCGTTTGCAAGGCAGCTTGCGGTATTCGCCGTATGTTAAAAGATTCTGTTTTCGTGTTTTGGTTGACAGTTTTTCATCATGTCATGCCTCACGTCGATATCTTGTTCAACCAGTTGCCGAAGAGGAAAACCCAGCCAGCGCAAGTTAAAACGGCTATCGAGAATTTTGAAGAATGTATTGTCGATGTGAGAAATAGAATTGATGACATAATAAATGGAGCCAAAAGTATTTGCACTGAACTGAAAAAGAGACGACGTAATAATAGCAGTCACGATCACCGAGTTGCCGCATTAGAAGTATGCGACAATATAGTGAATTATGCAAATGACAGATTTCAATTCAAAGATCTTTTGGTAGCCGCATCCCTTTTTTTTCCCGAACACTTTGGAGAATACTGTAGTATGTTTCCGGATGACAAGTTGGAAACTACCTGCTTGGCTTATCCCGAATTAGAAAAAAGTCGTTTAAAGTTGTCTGTTATTTAGGCACGGAATGATTGCCGAGATTCTCTTTTGAAATTTTTGATACAAAATAGTTTGGAGAGAACACTAATTAAACAAAAAAGCTATTAGAAATTATTGTTACAACTCATATGTCAACATCAGAGGCTGAGCGAAATTTCTCAACATTGAAAAGAATCAAGACTTTTCTTCATAATACCATGACCCAGGATCGCCTTACAGCGTTGTCGATGCTGTCCATTGAAAAGGAATTTATTTCGACCATGGAAAACTTCAACGAGAAGGTGATCGACAAATTTGCTGCCAAGAAGCAGCGCAGGATCGAACTGACATATAAAAAATAGGTAAGTTCGGATTTGAAGAACGCGTGTTTTATTTTGCCACGAGCCGCCACTGATATTGACTGTTGCTGACTAAGATTTTTAGTGTTCCTGATTTTGTTTGGCATTTTACGTATTCAAATATAGGTTGCTGTCTTTTGGGCTTATTAAATTACATTGATCATGATTTTGATTTTTGAGGTGCCATAACTTTGGAACAAGGGATTACTCTCTGAGAGTATATCACCTTTGTAAATTTTTTATCTCTTCTTGTCCTTGCAGAAAGAAAAGTAAATTTCTAGTAACACAGAATGTACATGGATTTTTCTTCAAGTTTGGGTCTTGTAAATGAGTAGTTCTGTAACAGACATAGAGTAGAAAGTAGAGTTTTAAACAGTATTTCTCTCTCTAGGGATTTTTTATACCGTAAATTTTGGAAACGAGGTAAGCAGCCCTTGCCTTGTGACGTTCCTTATGTCACTGCTCACTACTGGCCACTGGTTTTTGACCTGAGCCCTTGTAAGCTGTGGACATCTCAGCTGTACCTAAAACTGTAACTGGAAGAAGACCATTATTCAGATAAGTTTAGGTTTAGGCGTTAAAATATTTGTAAAACCTATATTTGTAAAGCCTTCGTACGCGTACCATGGTAAACGTTTTACAGGGTAATTATCACGGTCTATTAATTTTATTGTCAGGTAATTTTGAATAACATCCTTTCTTTTAACTTGCATTCCAGTGGTGGAGCATATGTGCTGCTTGTTTTATTAATATATTGTGATTCTTTTTTAGATATCTTGTTTTATTTGGCTCTCAAGGTACAGTCAATTAGGTTGCATCATTGCTGTTAGATTCTTTTCTTTTGTGTGGTGGTCAAGCAAAACAAGTTCCGACTAACATCTCAGAGATTTGTGGCTTAATCCGCCTTGAGTCACTGGCGCTCTTAACCTCCCCTACTCTCCGATTTATTGAGCTAGGGCCTAAATTTGCACGCCACTTGACAGCTGTTTTGCATTGACTGACCCTTAGATTGCATTCGTAATGTTTTATTATATCATTAATTAATTTAAAAAAAGGGAAGAGGAATCACACCGCCAATTCTTCTTATTTATAAAAAAAGGAGTGGCAAGTTCTAGCTGACAACCAGTTCAGAGTCGTACTGACTGCTTGCAAATACACACAAGTTTAAATTCTACTTTGACAGACCGTCCACTGGCGGAGTAGTTTGGTAATCTTGAAAATTTTCGAACATGAGATGTTATGTTTTTGGATGTTATATGTACATCACGAAAAACGATGTCACTTATCTCCGTCTGTCTGTTTGTCTGTCCGCTAATCCTATAACCGCCTATAACTTGAGAAGTACCGCTCAAATTTTGATAAAACTTTTACACAATGCCGCTACTATGCCAAGGATCAACAACGAATAAAAAAATAAAAATCGCTCATACTTCGTTCCGGAGAATCCTGATCACTTTTGAAGAAAAATTTAGAGATAAAAGATTTGTTGCTGGGGGTATGTGGAGGAATATCTAATTTTTTTATGTTAGCATATTTATATGCATATTTTAGGCATCATAGATGTCTCCGTACATTAGCTCAAAATATTCTCAGCAGACGGATCGCATACCTACCGAGCGAGTCTGCTTCTGCTCTCGGCGGCCAGCCTACGTAAGTATTCTGGTATTACACGTATTATTGCCGCGCCACAGCTTAAGGTGCATCTACACGGGCAGTAAAAATTGCTCAATTGGGAGCAATAGTAGTCCATTGTGTGTGAACAAAATATCAAGCAACGTCAACAAGCATCAATTTGCCAAAAATGTTCTGCAACAACAATATTGAGCGATATGGAGCAGCTTCAAGGAATTAGCCAATACGTTCGTACACGACCAATTTAGTTGAAAGCCCATCGCTTGCTATGGAAAAAGTGTCTCTTGCAGCGGCGGCTTGTAGCGCTTTTATTATGTTGTGTCGAAAGAAACTAAAGGGATTCCATACCAATCTGCTTATTTATAATTTTTTTATTAAAATAGAATACTTACCTCTGATTGTGTTTCCGTTCCTACTCTGAATCAGCTTCATCTGCGCCTTTTGAAATATTCAAACTTTTGAAAGCGAACCAATTGCTATATTGAAAAGCGCACTGCCGCTCTTTTCCTTCTTCTCTAATTCCTTTAGCTCACTGTTGAAGTATGTGCGTAAGTGTTTAGATTTTTTTACTGCTTCGTTATGAGATATGTCGAACTACAGGCCTATAGAATGGACATCTGTTTTAAGCAAGCGATCTTTAAAATCAGGATTCTTGTTATCCCACAATGGAGCACGAAGTGAACTGCATCAATAAAGTTAATAATCCTTCCATTGTTCCACAAGAACGAAGACGCCATTTTGTTTAATCAATTGTATGCAGTCACACACAACACAATTCCCAACAGACAGAGCGCTGGCGCCTCTGAATTCTGCCAACGCTCTCTAATCCAATCTAATCTAATCTAATCATATTAGCAAATTTCCACGAAATAATTGTAAAGCCTGGTTTTATTGGTGCAAGTTATCCCAGGGGGTATTTAAAACATAGACGTACAAAATGGGTACCTACACCAATTTTTGTGAGGAAACCTTTTATTGGACAACAAAGAATGAGAAAATGTGTTTTTTGGGATTCAAGCGAAAGTGTTGACAGTAAAACTTGTCATATGAGATTTTTAGGTATTTATAAGATCTGCAAAATGAGACCACACGTAAAAAGATCCGACTAATAGCACAAATGTTGTGGCTGAAAATGCAAAATACACGTATACTAAGTGACATATAAATCCGAAGACCCAGTTTAAATGGTTTTATTTTAATAAAATTTTGTATTAGTACTTAATGAAGCATAATAAGAAAATGATAAAAATTTCAAAATGATTGCACTACTTTAAAGCTCTTTGACCTTTAATAATGTGTGGATGCACCCTGATGTACTACACATTCTCCAACGCGCCTAGGCATGCTTCTGATCAGGTGGTCAATGTCCTCCTGTGGTATCTCATTCCAGGCAACCACCAACTCCTCTCGAAGTGCTTCTAGAGTCTGAGGAGGACGATGCAAATTGAGCAATCTCCTACCCATCATATCCCACACGTGCTCAATTGGGGATAAGTCGGGAGATCTTGGTGGCCATGGTAACAATGTGACATCATTATGTTGAAAGAAGTCTATTGTGACTCTTGCAACATGTGGTCGGGTATTATCTTGTTGGAATGTTGGATCTGCCAGGGTGTCAAGATAGGGTAAAAGATGGGGTTCTAGAACTTCGTGGATATAACGCTGGGCGTTCATGTTACCTCTGATGAAGATTAAAGGTGACCTGGAACCATAAGCTATAGCACCCCAAACCATAACTCCAACAGTGTGATGAACGTGTCTTTCAACAAAAAACTGTGGATTCCTCCTTTCACCACGTCGCCTTCTAACCCTGGCACGACCATCGTGCATGCCTAAACAAAATCGAGACTCGTCACTAAAGACAATACTGTTCCATTCCTGATCCCAGAGTGACCGTTGTCTGCACCACTCAAGGCGATTACGTCGGTGTTCTCGAGTTAAAGGGAGGACCCAGTGTGGCCGGTGTGAAAACAAGCCAAAACTTCTCATTCGTCGGTAAACACTTCGCATGCCAATGGGTCTTCCGTGTTCTGCAAACCATTCATTTGCAATGGAACTGGTAGTGGAGAAACGGTCCCTTAAGGCCAATAATCTTAGGCGACGATCTTCACGGTCTGTTGTTCTACGGCGGCGTCCAATGCCCCTTGCTCTTTGCGTATGGCCTTCTCGAAGCCATGCCTGATAACACCTAACCTCAGTTTCTACACTTCTTTGCACTCTAACTGCAATTGCCCGAAGAGAAAGTCCAGCTTCCCGAAGTCCCACTATAGGGCCCCTATCAAAATCACTAAGTTGACGAAATCGTACAGGTCTCCGTACTCTAGGCATCGTAACCGATCGTAAAGGATGTCAAGAACCAAAATCCGCTAACGTTGATTCTTTACTGCGGCTGAAATATTCATTTTTAGAGCGTTAGTGAATTAAAATAAAGCAGTATAAAAACCGGAATGTCCAACTAAGGCTGAACATTTTTTCACTTGTTATTTACAGTAATATAAATACATTCACCAACTTTTATTAAAATAAAACCATTTAAACTGGGTGTTCGGATTTATATGTCACTTAGTATATTTACCTTGCAAATATTAATCACAAAGCACTTCGAAAGATAAACGTTATTTTCTCGCGAAAAACAAAGGTTACGTTTTTTCTTCTAAACAAATTAAAACATTTCTTATTTGTGAGTAAGTACGAATCCTACTGATTTTAAGAATTTCGAGTAGTTGCGTGGAATTATCGACGCATTACCAACAAGTCACAAAACCTGTATTTTGCCTCGGTTTTCGGCCATAACTTTTTTGCTATAAGTCGGATCTATTCACGTGGGGTCTCATTTTGTAGGCCTCATAAATACCTAAAAATCTCATAGAAAGAGTTTTTTCGTTTCTGCTAACACTTTCGATTGGATCCCAAAAAACACGTTTTTTGTCGAATAAAAAGTCTCCCACAAAAGTTGGTGCACCCGTTTTATGCGTCCATGTTTTAAATACCCCCTTGAACTGCTAGCAGCAATAAAACCAGGCATTATAATTATTTCGCAAACCAGGGGTA